GCTACCGCGCCCAGCCAGCCTGGAAAAATTTAAAGAAGAATCTCCCTAAAAGTGATTTCTGTGGATTACCTTAACACACCCTACCCGGCTCACCTTCCCTATTTTACACCCAGGTAAGACACTGAGGATCCTTCCTCATGAGAAAGGGGATAACTTCTAGTTGTGTGACATTTTTCTCTCATCTGGCAGTCTGGCTCTTGCAGGTCCTAGCCCCTCATTCTACCATTCTACCACCGAGTATCTTCACCTGGATTCTTATAACGATGGCTAGGTGATAGGCTACATGTAACTTGTCTCTATATTGACCTGCATTCCCCATACTTCAACTCCCTTGCCCCAAGTCCTAAAAGCACTTTCAATTCCATCCAATTTAATCACAAATGTGTTTTGAGCACAAATTATTAGGCTATAGAGTAGGATTTACAACCACCCATCAGCTAGTGCTGTTCTCAAGATGTTTACAGCTAGTGTCTCTGGAATCAGATAAGCAGAGAAATATTTACAATACAAGGTAAAATGCAAATCACAAGAGTGTGCAGGAGTTGAAAAATAGTGCCATTGAGGGGAGGCAGTATATCATCCTAATCCCAAGCATGGGATTTGGAGAAACCAGGGTTCAATCCTGAGTCTGCTACTCATTAGATAAGAGACTTTGGCATTAATGGCATAACATCCACGTCTATTATTTTGAGATATGTATGTAATTTGTATAAAAAGGTAGATGGCCTATAGTAGATGGGTAAGCCTGTATGGTAACCATATCAAGTATATGGTTCTTTCTACAAGTTTGACTGTTAGAAGAAAACTTGGGTGGGAGTTAGAGGTGGAACATGAAGCCCACATGAACTTCTTTACAGACTGAGAAGGAGCCTGAGGAAAGAGAGAGTTCGAGGGTACGTGGAAAAAGGGGAAATTGAAGGTCCTGGAGGGGGTGGGATTTAATGCGTAAACTGCGGGAGAACTTTAGCTTTCTGCGCAAGGGAGAACTGGAACGTGAAACATGCACGTGGCAGAGCAAATGGTTAAATTAAGGGGAAAAAGTCACTACAGCAAAGACTAATTTAAAAAACATTGGGAAAAGAAAATGGATTGGAGAATGAAGCAAACATCTTAGAGAAGAATTGAAGGAAATTAGCTAGATTAAAGAAAATCTCTTTAAAGTACATTTTTTTTCAGCTGCCTGATATCCTTAAAGCAGGAAACCTGACGGAGACAGCTGGAGCGAGCCGGAAGCGCGGCACTTCGCCCAGAGGTCCCGCCTCCGCCGAGCGGAAGTAGGCCCCGGCCTGGTGCGCAATCGGAACCCGACCGCTGCGAGTGCAGCGCAGGCCGGGCGAGTTTGCCGGAAGGACGCCGGGTGCCTGCTCGCGGCGGCCCGGCGTGAGGTAGTCTCGGAGGTGCTGCTGTTCCGGTTCGGTGTCCCGGTTGCTGGGGCTGCACAGACCTTGCAGACATGTCGGGGTTCAGCCCGGAACTCATCGACTACCTGGAAGGGAAAATCTCCTTTGAGGAGTTCGAGAGGCGGAGAGAAGAAAGAAAAACCCGCGAGAAGAAAGTGAGGAGATGCTAGGCAGGATGCTCTTCAGTTTCTCCTCGCCCTAATGCACTTAGAGATGTGGAGGACCCAGATGAACCCTTTTGTTGTGACGAAGCGGGCTGGGAACTCCAGCAGCTTCTTCCCCTTCTTACAGAAACTCTGGTTCTCACCCCTCCCTCATCACTGTGCTAAGCTCCTTTTAAAAATGTTTTCCTCCACCTGAAAGCTTTTGTCTCGATGGTAGCCTCTTATTTATTCTTTTTACCTAATACTTAATTTTTATTTGAGAGTAGCTTAGTGCCGGTAAGGTTAAATGGGGGGTGAGAGGATGAGGAGAAGAGTTTGGTGTCCTACAGTATCTGGTTCTAGTCCTACCTTTGCCGCTAAGTCATTTTGTGACCGTGGGTGGGCAACTCACCTGTTTCCTTTAGGCCTCAGTTTCTCTACTTCCAAGCTGCAGTTGTTGAGTTCCCATTTTTGAGGAGTCTCCCACTGGTGTGGTGTAATCTACCAAAAAGGTAGTTATTGTCTAATAACAAAATCTTAATGGATACCTGCTTTTTTCATACTTAGGGATATCTCACAGGTGGGGATACTCACCACTATACTTTCCGTATTTCTCACTTACTTGAAGCCCAAGGGAAAATAAAATTGAAGCTTTTGAAGTTAGCCGGTGGATTCTTTCCTAATTCATGGGACAGTATTAGGATACAATGTGTAGATTAATGAAATCATTAAGATATTATTAATAATTTTTTTTGTTGTTTTACAAATGACCGAGACCAAAGGATAAAATCTAAGTACTTTGAGATGCTTTGGCAATATTCAAATTTAGATTCCACATACTATGTATGTGTGTAGAGCTGAAGTTTTATAGAAATAGAAAATAAGGCAAATGCCTTATTCTGTTATATAAATGGCCCCCCCATGGTCACAGAATGACTGAGTGGCAAAGCTAGGACTAGAACAAGATACTTTGATTGGAGAGAGCTGGATTTGCATTAGTTTTTGGAATCATTAAATAAATTTTCAATCAGAGTCTTCAGGAAAAAGGAAAGTTATCAGCTGAAGAAAATCCAGATGACTCTGAAGTTCCATCATCATCAGGAATTGACTCTACCAAATCCCAAGACAAAGATGTCAATGAAGGTATGTTAAGATTAGTTGCTATCTGCATTAAATGTTAAGAGTGTCTAAGCAAAGTAATTTAGTGAAAGCATCATTTTGTCATTGCAATGATATTCTGTTGTTGATTATCTGGTTTATCAGGAGCGTAATGCTTGGCACTCAATGAATATTTGTTGAGTTACTGAATGTGGTGATGGTTATTTTTGTGAGTTCCAGTGATGGAAAAGTGTTTGAAATTGACACAAGTATTTGTTTGGGAGCGTTTTTACAATCATTATTTTAAATTGGCCCTCTAAGTTGGTGACTAATTACTTCCACATTATACTCCCCCAGGTTATAATGAATTAATAGTGCTATACAAAGTTGCTTCCAAACCACAGCTTTGGTTATAGGGAGATAAGATAGAAATGATAGAGTGGAAGGCCAGCTGGTTGCCCAGATGGGACCTTACACACGAGGTATCTAGTATGCTACCTCATTCTAGGATCCAGTCCTTAGCTTTGCATGTCCGGATATTAAATTTGGTTAGTGCACCCAGACTAATTAAACTCGTCAGAGACTAATTAATGAACTAGTATGCAAATTTACTAATTTCCGGTGACTGATAGCCCTTCCTGGTGCTCACAGTGCTGGTAATAGCTCAGGGTATCCACTTACTACCCATGTCAAGTTTCTTGGGTTGCTGAATTGTCCATTAGAATGTAGCTTCGTGTATAGTATCTGATTGAGAACTAAACAAAACTTTCTAGTTCTAGCGGGTAGAAGTAGAGGCTGGCTGTTTTCCCTCTAAACAAATAAGCCTTTACACAGAGAATCCACACTCATAGGATGGGCAGAAAACAGACTTATTTTATTCCTACCTCTCTGGACCAAGTGGGGAAGAAGGGGCAAAGAGGAGGGAAAACTGGGGTTACAGTTTCTTACTTTGCCAGGCAAGTAGGGTGGAAAAGGGGGCTTAAGTTGTTCTGACAAGCTATGGGTCCTTCTTTACCTGCTCAGGGGAGGAGCTGCTCTTCTATCATCAGGTCTTTGAGGTGTAACTGTAGCAGCAGGCACAACTGCGTGCCTGTCAGTCTTGTTGCCTAAAGCTGCCACCAGGCCCTCCCTATAAAAGGGGTTACCTGAGTCCAGTTCAGGCTCCTCATGAGCAGTCAGGCACACAAGGACTAGCTGGCCTCAGCTCACATAATCCCATCAGTCCTTTTAAGATATAAAGCTCGTAATATCCTATGAGAGAATTGTCCCAGAACTCTACCGAGACTCTTGGCGAGTGTGAGCATGTCTTCACAGCAGAAGAAGGAGGGGGGCAGTTTTGAATGCGCTTTGGCAAAGTCTGCTAATTGGAATATATGGCCATTGTCTTTTTCCTCCTGGATATTGCTGAATACCACTGCTAAATTCTTTTGAGCTCCTTTCCAACACATCGTGCAGTTAGGGTTGTCTTTTATTTTCAATTCATTGTTGCTGAGATATAAAACTACAATTAATTTTTATATGTTGACCTTATATCTGGCAACCTTGCTAAATTCATGTATTCTGACAGTTTGTATGTAGATTCTTTTGGATCTTCTACTTACATAACCATGTCATCTGTAAGTAATGAAAATTTTATTTCTTCCTTGCCATCTTTATTCCTTTTATTTCTCTATTGCACTGGCTAGGACCTCTAGTAAAATGTTGAACTGGAAGTGGGGATAGCAGGCATCTTTGTTTCATTCTTAGTAACTTTCTATAATTCATCATTAACCATGTTTGTGGAAAGTTTTTTGTAATACTCTTCATGAAATTAAAGATACTCCCTTTTGTCGGGAATTTCCCAGCCGACAGGGTTGAAGACAGGGCGCCACACAAGAATAAGAAAAGAGACAATAGAGGAGAAAGAATGGGATTAGGGGACTCGAGGCTTTCCAGACCAAGAGTCCCGAGACTAATTTTTCACTCGTATTTATTCATCTCAAGAACAAAAGATTATCAAGAATTATATAATTAAACATGTTTTAAAGATATCCCACAGGCAAACAAGTTCTAAAGATTTCCATAATGATTACAACAATCAGGTATACGTCATACAATTAGGCTATAAAGATTACTATATAGATTAAGATATCTAGGTGTACATTGATCTCAGTAAAGCTATTTCTAGCCTAAAACTAAATAAGAACATAAATTTAGAATTGTGGCCAGGCTAGTTCTCCAGTAGGTTGGATGTTCCTAATAGTAGTTCTGGAGCAGTTTTTCGCCCCAGGTGAGGTATTGTCTTCAGTTCCTCCTGTCCTTGGGATGTCCTTAGTGTTTGGAAACCAGCCACACTCATGTAGACTGTCACGTCCACAGAGGTTTCTAGGCCAGCAATATCCCTAGGCCACCCTAACATTTCTAAGCTACCCCAATACCTTTCATTTTCAGTTGACTAAGAATATTAGAAATGGATGTTGGATTTTACAAAATGTTACTTTTTATCTATCAAGATGGATCATATGATTCTTCTAACTCTTTTGTTCATGTGATAAATTTTACACATTTCATCTTTATTTTGGATGTACAAAATTCTTGAATATGATCCTTAGGACTTCATACTAAATATTTCTTGATCAGAACATGTGGCTTCTTAAATCTGTTCTTCGCTAAACATTGATTATCTCATTTATCCAGCATCTTTGGGGTTCGAAGTATTTCATATAAGTGAATAAGCTTAAGGGGATTTTTTGGTGTGTGTGTGTGTTTGAGATAGAGTCTCGCTTTGTTGCCCAGGCTAGAGTGCAGTGGCATCATCATAGCTCACTGCAACCTCACACTTCAGGGCTCAAGCGATCCTCTTGCTTCAGTCTCCCCAGTAGCTGAGA